TTCAACAAAATTTAATTATTTACTTTTAACATTTTTTTTGTATGTTATACATTTCAATACATCAATAAAAATTATCTGATGTAATTTATATTAAAATTACATAATGTTAATATTTAATGTTAATAATGTTGAATTATATGATTTTTTAAATTTATTATAATTATCTTGATATTATATAATATCAAGAGCATAATTGTGTTAATATTGTTATTTTTTATTTTTATTAATTAATCGATATCAATAATTACAATATTTGTAATAAAAATATTTTATTAAATATTTTATTTCAAATACATATATATATGTATGTATAATATATATAATAATTATATATAATAGTTAATAATATAAATAGTTATATATAATAGTTAAAAACTAAAATTTCGAATAATATTTGTATTCGACAATTATTCTTCAATCAAAATAATCTTCTTCAATCTTCAAAATAATAATATCTTCTTAAGATATTCTTTTAAAATTTTCTTTTTAACTTATCTTTTTTCAAATATCCCTAATAGATATGCATTATCTTATTATTATATAACTTAATTTGTAAATAAATTTTAAGTCTTTTATTAATAATTGTCATTAACTTACAACTATTAATAAGTTATATTGCATTTTTTAAATATATTTTGCGAATATCATCGATAAAAACTTTTACATCATTTGGTTTTGGGAATAAACATGTTTGACATAAAGATTTCATTGTTAAAGTTTGATTCATCATGCCTAATTTTCTTATAATATTCGATTGAATTGTTGTTTTTGTTTTACCAACATATAAACTATATGTACGAAGTTGCGAATTCAAAGATTCTCTTAAAATAGCAAAATTATAAAATATATATCTTTTGAATGAAATAAAAAAGAATAATTAAATAAGCTTTATAAAAAATATAAATAATAAATAAAAAATAAATAAGAAAATTTTTAATTTTATAAACAAGTGTATATTATCTTTACCTCAATTTAATATGAACAATTCCACCAAAAGGTATAAAATCTTCATAAAGTCGCGTAGAAAATATATAATTGCTGTTATAATAAATACACTTATGTTGAATAGGAAGCTTCTTTACTTTTTCCCAAATTTTTAACAAGTATCCATTAGATAAACCTTCTAGAAAAATGTAGATTTTTTCACAATTTTCAATAACGAAACCCGTTAAAATGTGTTTTATTACATTTTGTGCCTATATAAATAATATTTAAAAATAAATTTTAAACCATTTTTGTAATTTCATGTTATTGTATAATCAAAATATTAATTAATTAAAAAAAATGTCATATTATATTTTAATATACATTCAAAAATATTACTTTTAAATTTGAAGATTGATAAGTATTCAATAAACTGGAATTATAAAAAAACACATCATCTAAAATATCATTAGCCAATTTCAAATCATTCAAATTAAAAAAAATTCGATTCAATATATTTTCACATCGAAGAATCTTTTTTTGAAATGTTCGCAAATCATATGCTAAACGAATTTTAATTTTCATTGATGTATTATATGATGTAAGAATATCTGTAGTAAGAGGAGAATTTTTCCACGAAAGTTTCATTCTTTCATTTTCATCACAGTTAGTTGCAAAAACATTATGAGGATGAATTAAGGTATTCGTCAATTTTACTTCCCAAAATCCTCTTAAAAGATCAGATATATCAAATTGAACAACACCTAATAAAATTTCTTCCTTCATAAGTATTTTTGGTGACTGTGTTACAGATCTGTCATAATTAAGTTGTTCGGAAGTAAAAGTTGATTCGATAATATTAACAGTTCGTATACCAATTATCTATAATTATTTAAAATTCGTAATAATTTTTAAATTTGGTTGAGTAAATATATATAAAATAAAATTTAGATTACTTCAACAGTGAGGAATTTTGTTGTAAGGAAATTAATCAATTCTATCATTTGAAATTCTTCGCAGAGGAAACATTTAACAAATTCGAAATACATTATTCTATTTGGAGCATAATACGGCGTGACGATTGTACGATCTACCATAAAAATCTTCATATATAAATATTTGAAACCATTTTCAGTTATTATATCAACCGGGAAATTAGATAATTGTTCCAATTTGATTGATATAGGATTCAAACTTATACGTAATTGTTTATTTGATAAAATATCTTGACATTGTGCATAAATTAAGACGGATGATATATTTGATAGTGACGATGTTCGATTATAAGTGGTAATTGTACCCATATCTAAAAATAAAATTATAATCATTTTTTATTTTAAAACAATATCAAATTATTACCAAAAAAATATTAAAATAATTTAAAATAAAATTATAAATTAAAAGTATAAAATATAAAAAATATAAAATTTAAAAAGGAATTAAGTATATCCTATCATTTATTTTTGATAAAAATAAAAAATATTTTTTAATTTTTTAAATAAATTTTTTATTTTCAATGAAATTTTCTGAATATGTAGTATAAAATGCGTTATATATAGTAAGTTATATATAATGCAATTTTTTTTTTACTCAAATATTATTTTAAAAAAACAAAATCAACACAAAGTTTTTAATGTTTTTTTTAGTCAAATATTATTTTGAAAAAACAAAATCAACACAAAGTTTTAATGTTTTTTTCAATATAATTTTAAAGCAAAAAAATTAAAAAAATTTTCCGATAATATTAAAAATTATATAAAATATAAAAATATATTAAAAAATTGAAAAGACAAAAAATTGAAAACTTTTGAGGATATTGATTTCATTTTCTCAAAGAGTTTTATTTTTAACAAAAAAAATTACTATAACTTATATATATATTCAATTTTTATTATTATTAATTCAAATATTTTCAGTTTGTTATTATATCTAATATATAAAATACATATAATTCAATCTATATAATTCAATTGTACGTAAAAACGTGTAATTTATAATTAATATATTATAACAAAAAATGCAGATTGCTAAAAAAAAATAGTTTTTTTTTTCGATAATGTATAGTAATTATTATTTCATAGCAAGAAAAATTGATTATATTAATTATTAATATAAAAATAATTTTAATATATATAATTATATATACACTAAGAAATAAAAAGAGAAAATCCCCATCAAAGTCCTCGTTAGTATAGTGGTTAGTATCCCCGCCTGTCACGCGGGAGACCGGGGTTCGATTCCCCGACGGGGAGAAATATATTTTTATTATTATTATTATGTAATTATTATTATTTTACTTTTATTATATAATAATATTATTTTAGTAATAATTATAATAATATTGTTTACATATATAATAATGAACATAAATTTATTTTTTAAAACGAAAATTGAAATTGAATCAAATAATTTGAATTTTTTTGACAGGTTAGAAAAATTAGTTTATTATATAATATATAAAAAAAAAAAATTGAAGAAGTTGTAATTGATTGAAATGATAAGAAAATAAAAGTTTTATCTGAACTTATAATAAAAATTAAAAGATATATTTTATAGATTTATATCAATTATAAACATTGAAAATTTCATGCAATTCAATTCATGAAAGCGATATTGTATTAATATATTATATTAATAATCGATATGATATTAAATGACAAGTTTTATTATTCTATATATGTTTTATATTTATCTATAGACACAAAAACACAAAATGTTAATATATAATTAGGATATCTTTGAAACATGTAGATTCTTGATTTTAGAGACCAAAATAAATAGAAAAGTTGATGTACAAAACTATATTGATTAAGGCTTATTTATTGAATTATAAAAAATTGAAGTTTATGGTAGACAAAGAGAGATATAGATAGAATAAGACTATTACATTATATATCTTATTCTATCTCCATCTCGCTTTATTTAATGCAAACTTCAATTGTTTAATATGTTATATTATAATAAATATGGCTTAACCGACATTTTTATATATCATTTTTATATTTGTTTTGCTTTAGAATTGATCTTATAAAAATGTTTCATAAATATATTAATCTGTATAATAAAAATTGAATAGTATTCCCATCTGTTATGTAGGAGATCAGGATTTTTTCCCCGCCGAGGAGTTGGTGTTTCTTTTTCAATTCTTATTTATATTTTTTATATCAAAAATTATTTAATTTTTTTGCTGAATTTGTCAAAGTACTACTTTCTTACGGATTTTAAATATATTAAGACTTTTTTAAAATATTTTGCAACAAAAAATATATAATATAAAAGAAAAAAAATTTTATGGCAGATAAATGGCAGACAAATTTTAATAATCGTAAAAAAATCTAAGAAAGATAATAATACTTAATTATATATTATATGTTATCTTGCCTTTTGATAACAATCAGATTATGCTAGCATAGATTAATTTTTTTTCATTTTTCTTTGATATCATTGAAATGCAATAAAAGAAAAACTTCTTTAGTTATATTTTTTGTTATTCATGTGTATATCAAAAAATGTTTTAATAGAATGCTATTTGAATTTATGATAATATAAAAAATAGTTTCTTTCTTATTTTTTTTTATGCTTAGGATTCAACTATCATATTTTTATATCTTTTTTGTTATACATCATCATAATAAAATGTTTAAAAACTTCAAATCAGTAAAAAAGTAGCATTTTGATGAGTTCATTGTTTCATATCTTATGTTATTTTTTTTATTTATCTTTTTTTCTCAATTTACCAGAAAACAAAACTTCAGCAGGTAAACGTAGCTCATATATCTGTGTTCCTTGTTTCTGTTTCTTTTTTTATTTTTTTAATTTGATTCTTTTGAAAAGATTTTTTAGTCTGTTTTGATATTAATGGTGATTCTTCATTTTCAACTGATGAGAAAAGTAATTCACATGTTAAAGATTCAGATGGAAAACGTTTTTCTTTCGACATTTTCCGAAACAGATATTCATGTATACTATCTAATGAAATTTTCATATATTTTTATTAACAACAATATAATATAAAATTATATTAGTGAATATTTTATTATGGTTTTTTAATTTTTATATTATTTTTTTTTTCAATTTTTATTCATACATTGCTTTATAAATTATCATTTCTTTATTTGAATAAATTTATATAAAAATCATTTTTCTAACCTGGTATCACATCAAGATATGTGACGATGCTAAAATCACCGTAAACTTCGTCTATAATTATTGTAGGTTCTGGGATTGTTAATGTTGAAGATGCAATAGAATTAGAATTATAGAAATCAAGAGGATATATTTGAAGAAAATGTTCTTGTCCTATATCAATAGATTTATCATTTATATAAAATCCTTTTACTTTATCTTTTTTAGCTCTATAAGACGAAAAATACAACAAAGATAAATAAGTGAACTAAAATTTTATATTTATAATGAAATAACAACATAATATTATATATTATATATGAAATATATATATTATGTATATAATATATTATGAAACATATTATATACATAATTTAAAAACAAAAAATATAAAATTTTAATAGTATATAAATAATATTATATTTTAACTATTATAATTAATTATTGAATTAAAATTCATATTAATGAAATATTACATTTAATTTATTTACCTTTCTGAAAATTTTTGTCTTCCATAAAATATATGATAAATGATTACATAGTTAAAATATTTTCTTAATTGTACTTCATTTAAATGAACTAAATGATGAATAGAAAATATGACCCAATATGTATCTTTTTTTATTGGACATGGTATTGGTCTTAAACATAAATCATTATTCTCAGTATAAATCTATAAAAATAAAGATAAATAAAAATTATATTCAAATTTTAATATTATTTTAATATTCATAATAAATGAATGATAAATAAATGATGAATAAATGGATGAATTTCTTGGTTTATAAATAATCATAATGAAATTTAAAAAGAAATGATATGAAAGATATATATAAATTTCTTTATTAAATTTTCTTCATTTTTGTAACTTAATTTTTTCTTTAATTTAATTAATTTAATTTTAATATAATTTTTATATATTAAAAACAATTTAATGATATATGTTAATTTGTTATTTTATTATTTATTTTTAGTTATTAATTTATTATTAATTTAGTTATTATTAATTTATTCGAAAAAAACATTCAAAATTATTTTATATAATAATTATTTTATATATTAAAAGACTATTTATATAATATTATATCTATTATAAAATATAATATATTTATCGAAATTTTTACATAAAGAACTTTTTTATTAAAATTGAAATCGAAATCAAGATATTAGAAAAAATGGAAATATTATTCATTTTTATGATATTTTTTGTTATATTAAAATTTAAAAGAATTAATAAAATAAAATGAATTAATGATATACCTTTGAGGCCGTTTCCCAACAACGACAATCAAATTTAAAGTTATAACTTGGAAGAAGTTCGTATTCAACATGTATTTCAGCTAATATTTCACCTATATGTATAATATTTTTTGAAGTTGTGTAATTTTGTGTAATTTCATTCGTATTTTTATTTATTTCTTTTTTTTTATGTTCACCCATTACTTTCTTTTTAACCTTTTCTTTAATTGTACTTTTGTCATTTTTTTCTTCTGTATTAGAATTATTCATAGAAATTGAAAATCCAAAAGTTAATATAATATGCATCGCAACGTAATATTAATTATTTTATTGTTGTAATTCATTAATATTGTAAACTGTTTACTTTATTCGAATTTAAGAAAATATTAACATTAATATTATATTTTAAATATTAATTATGAATATGATTAGTTTGATATGATATACTAATAGAAAAATTTGTTTGCAAGTTTTTTATTTATTATTATATTATATTTTATTTATTATATTAAATAATTTTATATTATTTAAATAATTCTTATTATTAATGTACATATTATATTAATTCGTATGATTCAATTTATACGATAATTTAATTTCAATTATTTTATAAATTTCTTTTATATAAGTAAAAAAAAAATTTACTAGATTTAAATTGCGGAAATTTAATTAAACAATCAATTAATATTGTATGTACATATAATTAAAAAGAAATAACAATAAAATAATTAATAAAATTTTGTTTTATTTTAAGTATTCAAAAATATTTATAAATATTTAAAGAATTAATATTTAATTATTAAATATAATAATAATTTATATAAATGATAGTTAAATGTAGATTAATTATACTTCCCGCTGAAGGACTTCGGGATTCAATATGGCGATTGGTTTCTGATTCGAGTAGAAACACAGCGTCAGAAGGATAACATCATTGAAGGAAGTTTCTTTCTCTTCATATTTTTCTAGAATAATTAAATACTCTCTTCAAAGTATCAAAAATATAAATATGAAATAATGTATATATTATATGATAATGCATAATTATTATGTACACTATCAAATTTTAATTTTTACATGTTAATAATAATATATCTATTTAAAAAAATTATTAAATTTTATATTATTAAAGTGAAAAAAACTTGTGCCAAGAATGTCTCAGGACGATGATGTAGGATTTTTATATAAAACAATGAGTAAGTTAAGAAACTTTATTAAATATATTTTAAGATATTTCGCTGTAGGTTAAAATGAATATAATAAATAAAATAAATAATTTTTCATAATACATTATATGAGAAAAATTTTAATTAAAATTTTTTTTTAAAATTTGCAAATAATCTTAATTACTATTTTTTCAATATATAAATTTAAAACACAAACAAAATTAATTCAAAAAATGAAACATAATATATTTCATAAAACATTTATATTTTAATTTTATATATTTATATTTTTTTATGAATATATGTATAATTAGAATAAATAATAAATAAATGTCAAATTTAATTAATGTATAATACATTTAGAATAATAATTTTATTAAATCAACAACTTAAATATGAATTAATTTTAATACATATAAATCTTTTTTTTAATATTAATGTCATTTTTTGTATTTTTAATTTAAAAAACATTTAATATTTTAATAATTTATTTAAAATATAGTAAATAAAACAAAATAAAAGAACACATAAAAAATGATCATAATGGACAAAACCGGCGTTGTATATTCCTTCGCGTATGTTAGTATTTTACAGTGACGACTTGATGAGTTTGATGTATATACATGTAGTGGGAGGCGTTTAAAAACTATACGTATAGCGGTATACGGATGTGTCAGAATTTTTAAAGAAAAATAATTTATATAAAGAAAAATATGAAATATTACCATTGAAATTAAGCAAAAGTTTTGCTTTAAGAATAATATGACTAGCATTTGTACGTATTTATTGTGAATTAAGTACATACATAACCTAAAATTAATTTTTTGTACCTTTTTGGGAGTGCATATCCCTTGGATTAAGTATGTTGTTGATAGAAAAGTTTTATTCTCGTATTTATTCCTTTTGATAAAACATTTAATAAATAAATAACAAATGATTATATAAAACAATTCTTTTTAGTTGAGAGAGACCCAAAAAAAAGGAGGGTTAAGCCTGTAGGATCAGCACAATCTTTACTTGATTTTGATTTAGGTGAAAGTTCTGATGACAGTGATTTTAGAATTGAGGATCACTGTGAATCTGATGATGATTCAGTGGATTCTAATGATATAGGAAAAGGTAAAATATATTATGTGATTTTTAAATATAATATTATTAACATATGTTTAGAAATTGTCTAATATAAATTTATGTATATGGAAGAGGAAGAAGATGTATCTGAGCAATCTGATGATTCTTTGGAAGATCCATTATTGACTAAAAAAGAAAATCCTAATTTAACTGTAGGAGATGTAATTGAACAAGCTAGACAACAAGCATTAAAAGGAAGTTCACTTGAAGATAAACTAAATAAAATGTTAATTTGTTGTGGTTGCTTAGGAGATAGAAGTGATGATGTTAATGAAATTGTTGAATGTGATGGATGTGGTGTTAGTGTACATGAAGGTACAAATTTTAAATATCTTAATTTTTATTTAAATTTAATTTATTTATTTTAATAATAATTTATGACATTATTTATAAATATACATTGATAAGCAACAAATATAAACAATTTCTCAATTAAATTTATTTAAGGATGTTATGGTGTATCTGATGTAGAAAGCTTTTCAAGTACTGATTCTTTATGTCAGTCAGCACCATGGTTTTGTGAAGCTTGCAGTGCAGGTATTGAAGATCCCTCTTGTGAACTTTGTCCCAATAAAGGTGGAATTTTTAAAGAGACTGATGTAGGCAAATGGGTACATTTAGTATGTGCACTTTATGTACCTGGAGTTGCTTTTGGAGAAGTATGTAAAGCTTTAATTTTTGTTAAGTATAAATTAAAAATGTTTTTAGATATCTATATATATGTTTTAGGTTGATCGTTTATCAAGTGTAACACTTTTTGAAATGGCATATAGTAAGTGGGGAGCAAAACAGTGTTCTTTATGCGAAGATGCACGCTTTGCTCGTACTGGTGTATGCATAGAATGTGATGCAGGAATGTGTCATACATATTTTCATGTTACTTGGTAAGAATTATTTACAAATATAATTAAATTATTTAATACAATCAAAAAAATATAGCATAAAATAATTTAAAAAATATGATGTTGTAGTGCACAAAGAGAAGGTTTATTATCTGAAGCTCATAGTGAAGAAGTTGATCAAGCTGATCCATTTTATGCACACTGTAAACTTCATTCCGATAAAACACTTGTTCGTAGACGTAGACGTAATTGGTTAGCTTTACAATTACGAGCTCAATACCGACAACAATTATTAAAGCAACCTAATCATTTAGATACTGAAGAACAGCGTAGAATCCAAAGAAAATTAGCAAAACATAGGCATAAATATTTAGCTCATAAAGCTTCCAGGCCACCACCATGGGGTATATTAATTATTTATATCTAATATGTTAATTAAATATAAAATTACATGAAATATATATATATATATATATTTGTAGTACCAACGCAAAAAATGCCTCGATTATTAACTACTTCAGCTTCTGCTTGTCGGCAACTAGCAAGAAAAGCTGAACTCATGGGTGTTGATACTGCTGCATTAGAAGCTCAAGAAGCACAACTTGTAGCTTTAGTTGATGTTAGAAAAAAATGGCATATTCCTCCTGCTTTTAGCGTAGAATTTATCGGTTATTATTTGGACCGTAATTTGCGAGTCACATCTATGAAAAGACGATTACAAGAACTTCTTGATATTAATTCTCAATTACTTAATGAACAACAAAGATTAGATAGAAGATATGATGAAGTAATGAAAGACAATGAAGAACAGATTCGAGTTAATGTAACATTAAAAGAAAAAATAGAAATGTATCACCAAGTGCTTAAGAGTGGTGGTTATGTAAAACCATTACCACAAATAACTGATTTGGCAAAACCAAGAATAGCACCAACTCTAGGTAAGTTAAATATAAAATATATAAAAAAGAACAAATGTATCATGATTTTTAAATAGGTACAGGTTTAGGTGTCCCTACTGCAGCAGCTTTAAAAATGGGTGTTGGTTTTCCCTTACCAGTTGGTAAAGGAACAGAAGGAATACGTGAAGGTAGAGTTTTAAGCAGTCAAGCACAAGATCAAAATCATAAAGGTGAATTGACATTAAGGCATCAATGTGGAATATGTAGAAGATCTACAAATCAACATTTACTTGCAAAATGTGATACCTGTCATCTTCATTACCATTTATCTTGTCTTAGTCCACCTTTATCACGTATGCCTAAGAAAACAAAACTTATGGGATGGTATGTATATTATTATAAATAATAATACAATCTTTTTATTGATTGCATTTTAGATTTAAAATAATATATATAATATAATATAATAATATATATATATATATATATATATATATAATATTTTTCAATATAGGCAATGTTCTGAATGTGATAAAGAATCTTCTGGATCAGAAGTTGAACGTGTAGATACTTCAGCTCCACGTAAATTAAGGCATTGTAAAGACGATTCAAATCTAACATCAACACCAACACCACCACAAGAAATACAAATACCTACAACACCAACAACACCTAGTACATCAAAGAATTCTTCTGCTAATCTTAATAACATAACGAATGCTTCTACACCTGATACACCTACAACACCAAAAGTAAATATTTTTAAATATAATATAGAGAAAGAGAAACCAATTTTTGATTTCTAGATTCTTAAGTTCTTTATTATCTAAATCATTTTAGGTAACTATAAAACCAGTTGGACCACAACCTCTGTCTTCAACTCCTATTCAATCAAATGAACCAGTATACAATCAACAACCTATTAATAATATGACAATAACCAGGGAAGGTTCACCTGAATATATGGTAGCTTCGGCAGATGGTACAGAATCTGTTTCACAAAGAAGTGCTAAAAAAAGAAGAAGGTATTACATAAAAATATATTTTTATGTAAATATAAAATATATAACATAAAAATAAAAATATTTAAATAAAAAAAATAAATATAAAAATAAAAATATTTAAATAAAAAAAGTAAATATAAAAATATAATATTTTTTCAAATTTTATTAGAGAGAAACACAAAAGATATACTCCTGACCCAATTACGGGTATAAAGCAAAGAAAACGCAAACATAAGAGAAAAAGTCTTGATGTAGAAAATCCTGAAGGACAATCTCAACCAGAAATTCATAGGAGAATTACAATAAAAGTATGTAAATATTTATAAGTAAACTTTAACATTATGTATGTTCAAATATATCTTATTTTTTTTTTATTAAACAGATAAAACCAATTCCAAGGCCAGAGGGAGATATAGCATCAGAATCAAGCCCACAAATGTTTGTTGCCACATCTACTAGTACAGAAATTACATCACCACCGCCACTTCCTAAACTACCACCTCCACCTGTTCCATCTTTGACTTCAAATACTGCACCTGTAACATCAAATGCATCTACTAATAATACAAGTAGAACATCTACAGGAACGGAAAAAGAGGAAAAGATATAGACCTTTTAACACATTGCAATGTTTGTGATATGCCTGGCACCAGTCAAAATCTCGTTATGTTAGTTCATATAAATACATTAAATATTTATTTTTTTAAACAAATTCCGAATTTATGAATTTATTAATTTTAATTTTTCAGGTGTGATGAATGTAAAAAATGCTACCACTTCACCTGTCTTGATCCACCAGTTAAAAAATCACCCAAAAGAAGAGGCTATTCATGGCATTGTGCTGACTGCGATCCTAGTGTAAGTTAATTTATTTTTATTGTCTACATTCATTGTAATATCAATCCAAAATACTTGTTAAGGTACTTTTTATTTAGTCGAAACAAGAAAAAGTAAAAACAAAATTAGATTTATATATAGTAAATCTTAATTTGTAGAAGAAATAATATGATCAATAGCATAAATGTGACAAAATATAAAGTACTTTAATATTATACATATAAATAATGAATTCTTTCTATAATCTTAAACATAGAACAAACAGTCTTATTAATAACTAGTTGCTAACATTAACTAATTATTTTCAGTAAAAGCTGTGCCATCTTTATTTATTGAATAATCAAATGCAACGTTCCATTTACGAAATATTGAATGGCAATTAGTTATTAATACGAAAAAAAACTTAAAATCTCACTTTTATATGAAAATGGGAACAATTCTTCATAAAAGATGGATAATACACCTACACTTCGTATAATTTTGAAGCAGCCAAAGCAACAAATTAGGCTAAAACTTATTTATGGATACTTTTATCTTTGATCTAAAATTGTTACTAGGAATATATCTTGAAGCTAATTTAATTCAATAAAAAAAAGAATCTGTAATAGTAAAAATATTCTTTCATTTCAGGCCTCTGAATCTGAGACTTAATATCAACAATTTTATGTCTGCAGCTATAATTCTACGTTCAAATAAATTAAGACATTAAATATCATTGTTTTTTGTAAAATATATAGAATATAATTAATATTTTTCCTCTAATTGTAGAAATCTCTTGAAAATACATGCTACAAATTTCACTTTTATGTATAATTTAAAATTTCTGTATATGTTTGATGAAGTTTTCAGTATTTATTTTCAATGGATTCTACTTAATATATTTTTATTTCTATATATGTATATATGTATATATATATTTTTATTCTTATATATATGCATTAACATTCATCAAGAATTCTATACATTTAGAAAGGTAAGAACAATTAAAAAAATCATATAATTTAAAAATTCTTTTAGTATTTATATTATTTTTAAATTTTTGATATTCTATTTAAAATGTAATTTTGCAACTATTAATGTAGATTTTAAATATCTTTTTTACAAGAAAATTTCAGATAAATTTGTTTATAATGATGCATGTAGCTTCATAATATTTTTTTATATTATAAATTGAAATTACATTAAATAAATTAATATTAACTTTGAAAATTTATATAAAAAATATTTTTGTATTATTTTTTCCAGACATAAAACCATTATAAAAATCAAGAGCACTCATAGTTCGTTTACCTTGAACAGTTATTTTTTTTACAGAAACAAAACTATTTTCTTTGCATTTTATAATTAATGCATTATTCCTTTTGCTATATATTGCAACACCTATAAATTAAAAATGTTTTAATAAATTTATTGAATAACAATAATAAACTAAAACAAAAAAATTCATTCTCAATCATTTTGTTATGTAATAAAATTATATGTTTACCTGCATTTTCTTCTTTAAGTTTTGTTGCTATTATTTTTGATTCAATTTTTTGAATATCAAGCAATTTTATTTTTACATTTTGAAATGATGTAGTTAAATCATATAAACCTAGAAGAGCACGATGTAAGTTATATACATTTGTGGCAGACATTTTATTCCAATTAACTAAAGATATTTTTGATGTTATTTTTGGTGCTAAAAAATATATCAATTTATAATATATGTATCATTATAATCAAATAAATATTTCATTAATAATAAAAAAAATATATTCACCATATGTTACATTAGTTTCATCTTGAGGTTTTGCAAATTGTAATAATTCTAATAAATTTTCAAATGTTCTTTTAAAAGATTTGCTCCAAGCTTTGCTAGTTTTGTATATAATTTTGGCATTGTTTCATGTTCATCAATATCTATTTGTTTTTGCAATACTATTTCTCCTATATCAAATCTGAAATATTTTAGATATAATAATATTTGTTATTATTCTTAAGTATTTCATTTCTTTTACTTTTGTAATATAATTTTAAAAAAAAATTTATATAATTAATAGTAATAAATAGTAATTAATTTTACTTTTTTGGCATTATCTTCATTACTGTAACTCCTGTTTGTGAATCTCCATTAATTAATGTATGAATTATTGGAGCTGCTCCTCTCCATCTTGGTAATAAACTACCATGTACATTTAACATACCTCTAATGAAAACAAATATATAACATTAATAAAAATAATCTAAAATCTATTATATAAATAATATTAATTTATATTAAAAACAACTTACAATGGAAATGCATTTATGATTGTAGATGGAATTAAATGACCAAATGAGACAACTATTCCAATATGAAACTCTGATTTATTAATTTCAATTGGCCATTTATGTATAATAATTTTATTTTGTTTTGCATATTTTATAACAGGATTTTCTTTTATTTTATAATTTGTAACAATTTCTAGCCGTTCTAGCTCTTTAGATTCACTATATATAAAAATATATATTTTAAAACTTATTTCAAATTATTAAGAATTTATAATATTAAAATAACAATATTTTTCTTACTATTTATCATACAAGATTTTCAAACTTTCAACTGCAAATTCATCTGTGCCAAAAAATAATACTTTCCATGAATTATTTTGTGATATTATATGCGATTTATTATAAAAAGTATAATATTTATTATATATTTTTGAATTAAAAGTTACAAGAAATATTTTATTTATTCCTTTGAATGAACATAAAAATTGTGTTATATTATATATTGTATGACTTAAAATTATATACATGTTGTGTTTCACATTCTATAATAAATCATTTCGATCATAAAAACGTATATATATATTTATAAGTAGGATTGCCACCTTTTTTATGGCCTGTAAAGTTTTAATACAAAATCTTAAAGAGATATTTCGTTAAAATATTTTGTTAATAGAAAATTATTATTCTTCTTATTATATAATAATAAGAAATTATAATAATTAATATAATAATAAAATTAATATATAATAGAAATGGAAATATTTTAAATATTATTCTAAAAAATGCAACAATTTGTTTTTATTTATTTTTTTTATATTTAAAATTTTTTATAATAAGAATATTTTATTGTTAATTAAATATATTAGAAAATTTTATTAATATGATATTTTTTTATCCTTTCTATTTTTAAATTTTTTTTGAATCTTTGGAATATTCCATCTAAATATATAACTATAATAAGATAAATTGCCAACCCTGATTATAACTTATGATTGTTATTCAACAAATTCGACGATATTACTATATTAACGATATCAATTCAATATTTATTTTCTTCTAATTTAATAAAAACTAACTTAAAAAATAATTTAAGCACGAAATTCTTGATTTTATACAAACTATGCTAATGTATATAAAATAAAGATTACAGAAGAGAATTATTTAAGTATAAGTTATTATATATATGATTTAAAAAAAAAAATTAAAATAGAAAACAAAATAAATAATTAGTAAGTGAGTATATATATATATATATATATATATGTATGTATATATACATCTATTAAAAACAATTTATTAAAAATTTATTTATTACAAAGAAATTCATGATTGCAATATTTCAATATAAACTTTGACTTAAGTAAATTAATAATAATTTATATAATTATATATATATATATAAAATTAAACGCATCTAAATAGTTACTACCTGCATACAATTTATTGAATGAATTATAAGTATAAATATTATAAATACGTATAAAAAACATTAATTTTATATAAGAAGTTATAGTTTTTAAGCCAATAAATTCCTAGTTAAAATTAATATTTTTGAATTTTATTCATAATAATTATTAGAAATTAAAAAAAATACAAAAAAAATTAATAATTTTTGATGTTTAAAGTAAAATTTAATCTAAAGTTTAATCATAAATTTTTGGATTTATGATTTAAATAAAAATTCCATAAATTTTTAGATTTATAGAATTCTGCGGAATTTTAAGTTCTTCTCTATAAATTTTTAAAAAAATTCAAATTTAAGTTGGCGAAACTGATATCCTAATACTATTTCAATATTTAAAGTTATAGTCACCACAGTTATAATATTTTAAGTTGTCGATGATTATAGCGATTAATGATATTAATATTTTGTTAATGATATTAATATTTAAAACACATATTTTTGATTGATTTAATTTCTTGAAAGATGTCACGAATAAGAAGACTTTCTATTCGTGGTATTCGTAATTTTGGTGATGAGAAAGAAGAAGCTTTGATTAGATTTTCTCGTCCTTTAACACTTATTCTTGGTCCAAATGGTACTGGAAAAACAACAATTATTGAAGCTCTTAAATTCGCTACTTGTGGTGAATTTCCACCTGGTTCAGATCGCGGAAAATCTTTTATACATGATCCGACTTTATCAACAACTTCATCGGTATGATAAATCTTTTATTATTACATGTATTTTTATTTTTAATTGGCTTAAGAATTAAAATTTTTCTTAAATAATTCTTTTTAAAAACTATATTTCTTAATATTCAATTAGTTTTTTTTCAAATAGGTTCGAGGTGTTATAAGAGCTGAAATAATTGATGTAATAGGTAATACATATACAATATGTAGAACAATAGAAAGTACAAAAGCTAATGTGACAGTAAGATTTAAAACTCTTGATAGTGCTTTAAGTAGAGTAAATAAAGATACCAAAGAGGTATGTTTTAATAAAAGTTAGAAAATAAATATATATTTGTATATAATTTATATATAAATTTTTATATTTATATATTATATATAATTTCTTTATTTATGTAGGTCATATCAATAACTAATCGATGTACTAATGTTGATACAGAACTTACATTAGCAATGGGAGTTTCTAAACCTATTTTAGATTATGTAATTTTCTGTCATCAAGAAGATCTTAATTGGCCTTTTCAAGATGGTAAAAAATTAAAAGAAAGATTTGATGAAATCTTTGATAGTGCTAAGTTTAACAAAGCTCTTGAAAGCATTATGAAATTAATTAAAGATTTGAAACAAAGAGTTAATATATTAAAAGAACAAAAACAAAATTATCAATTTACTGTTAATGAAGTAATAGATAAAGAAACAAAGCTTGAAGATAATAAAAAACGGTTGGAAAATTCCAAAATTAAAATTGAAGAATTTAATAAGGAATTAGAACCTGTGATTCAGAAAATTAAAAAATTGGAAAAAATAGATGTTGAATATAAAGATCTACAAAGTGAACAAAGTAACATTTTAATATTAATTATTATTAATTACTAAAATAAATTAATAAATTAAATTTTAAGTTAATAATTAATACATTTATATATATATGATTTTTATTTAGAGAGGAAAAAAGCAGAATATGATATGTTTAAACAACAATTGGATAGTTTAAAAGAAAATTTACAGAATATATTTGAAGATACTACAGAAAAATTATTAAAAGAAATAGAATCATATGATGAAGAATTAATTAAAAAAATTAATGAAATTGATGAGGTATATATATTATAATATTTATTATTAAATATAACTAAAAAAAAAATATTGAATTATATTTTTCTTATATTATACTATATTTTCCTTAGTTTAAAAAAAGCTTAAGAGATATTGCTGAAAAAGAGTCTACAATATCAAATAAATTAGCCAATGAAAGAGTAACTAATGGTTCTTTGAGACAACAAATTAAAGATCATGAGAAAAAAGTTATTCTTCGCAATCAAATATTAAATGAATCATTATCTTCCTGGAATCTTAATGTTGTTGATTCAAATGTTGTATCAGAATTAGGTATGAATTTAAAAAAAAATAATAATATATTTATTACTTATATATAAATATTTATATATTATATATATATAATATTTATATATAAATATAAATTTCATATAAAATTTAAAACTTTTTAGAAATAATAGCTTTTACTAAAAGACTACAAGAAAAAATGAGAGAATTAGAACATAAATTAGAAGAAAATAAAATAAAAAGAGAAGAAGAAGAAAAAGAATTGCAAAAAATAGTTGATATTTTGCGTCATAAATATTCAAAATTAGACATAGAAAAAAATTTTAAAGAAAATGAAATAATTGAAACAAGAAAAGAAATTGATAAAATAAAATTGGATATTATGCAGGTTGTATATTTTTTTTAAAATATTTTATTTATATTTTAAATTTATTTGATATGTTTTATTTTTAGCTTAATGCAGAGTCAAATAAGTTAAATTTTATTGAATCAAAATTACAAAAAGTACAAACAAGAATTCAACAATTAAATGATGCAATAAATGTGGATACTATGAAGAAAGAAATTGCTGATAAGATTAAAATTCGAGATGAAATGGACACACTTTTAAATACAATTGATGAAGAAATTACTTTATTATTAAAACAAAGTTCATTACAAACTGAATTAGAATTAAATAAATCTACATTACTTATTAAAGAAAAAGAAATAGAAAAATTGAAAAAGAAACATGAAGAAAAAATAATTTCTTTACTTAATATCAAAGATATATCTCAAATCAAATTAAAAAATAATTTTGACATGGTTCAAAAAGAATTGGTACTTAAAAACAGACATAATCATTTCACTTGTATAATACATATTTATTTTATTAATTTTTTTAATTTTATTAATTTTAGATAAATGAAATAGAATCTATTAATCAAAACATTCGAACAGAAGAACATCAAATAGCTACATTAGAAACAACAATATCACATATTGAACATGAACTTCAAAATAAAAAGAAAGAAATAAATTGTGAGTTTAAAATTTAATAATTAAAAATTTATTATTTATATTAAAATATTATTAAACTTATTATATTAATAAAAAATTATATTTTTTTTAGTGAATAAAGAAAAAATTTCATCAATTTGTTCATATAAAAATTTTGATGAAGTATTATTATTACAATCAAAGAAGGTAAAAGATCTTCAAGATAAAAAGGGAATGTACACTCATCAAAGTGCAGCTTACAAAGAATATATAAAACAATTAAGAAATACAAATCCTTGTTGTCCTTTATGTCACAGAGGTTTTGATAAAATTGAAACTATTACAACCTTATTAAAAGAAATGGAAACTGAAATAGAAAATCATCCAAATCGTTTGAAAGAATGTGAAAAAGAATTGAAAGTACAACAAGAAAAATATGATAAAATGCTGCAATTAAAACCTGTCGTTGAAAGAATAATACAATTAGAAGAAATTGAATTAGAAAAATTAACGTAAATTTTAAATCATTGTTATATATTTTTTTATTATAAATATTATATATATGTATATATATATACATATATATAGATATAATATATATATATATATTATAAAATTTTTTAGGAGTAATTTAGAAAAGTTCAAGAATAAATTAAATGAATCTCAAACAACTGCAATAGAATTAAAAACAAAAAATCTAATCCTGAAAAAAATTAGTAATGTGTAAAGATATTATAGGTGATGTTATGTTATGGGATACTTATATTGATGATATTTTTAAACTAAAACAAATAATTGATGATTTTCATATTCGTATGGCTGCTGCAGGTATTTTACATTGAATTAATTTTATTAACATTTTTATTATTTATTGTTTATTATTTATTAATTATTTATTTATTTATTATCTATTTATTCATTTTTTAGAATATAAATATTTTATTTATATATGTAGGTATTAAAACAAAACGTAGTCTTCAAGAAGCTCAAACTGAAAGAGAAGAATTGAAAATATCTTTAAAAAAGATTCGTGAGAATATTGAAAGATTACAATCTGAAATAAATATGCATAATGAAAAATTACATAATGCTCAACAGGAAGAAAATATATTACATAAAGAGCAGTTAAAAATACAATTAGATATGCAAAAATTGAAAGAGTTAAAAGATAATCAAGAAATTTTATATTTGAAAGAAATTTCTCTTGGAAAATCAATTGATACATTAAGAGAAGAAGTGACTTTATCAGAAACTGAATTAAATTCTGGACTTGATAAATTGGAAAAAAAAAAGTATATTTTTCATGTAGCACAAATAAAAATTCTTAAATTATTTCGAAATTATATTAAATTTTTATTAAATTTATAACATAAAATGTACATTGTAACTTTTTGTATTTTAGAAAGATAATTGGGAAAAACAAGAAACCGATAGAAAATTAATAACAGAAGGAAGTAGACGTTTATCTGATTTACAGAAAATGCAGGATGATGTTGATAGTTTTATATATCGTAAAATTCCCGAATCTTTGGAATGTTCTGAATCAAAAATAAAAAGTTATGAAAAATTACTTAATGAATTATTTTGTAAAAAAAATGATATGGAAACAACAATTAATAAATTAAAAGAAGAAATGACTCGTCAAGAAGTGCGAAAAAGAGAATTGTTAGATAATCTTAAACTTCGTGAAACTCAGGAAATTATTAACAATTTACAAGAACAATATTCAAATATAAAGGAAAGATTAAATACAATAAATTATTCTGAAATATTTGATGAATGGCAAAATTTACAATGTCGAGAACAAACTATACTTCGACAGGTATAATATTTTATTACATTACAGAAATAATAATAGAAATTTTATATTATCATTCGTATTTATGTAATTAATATTTATATTTAAATTCATTGCATTTTAGTTGTTTATAAATTTTCTAAAAAATCAATTATTGAATTATATTTGAATTAATATAATATATTCTAATATTCTATATTCTATATTCTATATATTCTATATTATTATATATTAATATATAAATTTAATTAATAGATATTTTAAATATTTTTAGAAAAATATGATTAAAGGTAATCAAGAAGAATTAGAAAGAACAGTGCAACAATATATTCAAGAATTAAAAAAAGATATATATAAACAAGCTCGTAAAAATTACAAAAGCAAATGTATTGAATTAACGGTAGCATATAATAATTTTTTATTTTATTAGTATTAACGAAAATTTTTAATAATTTTTTTTTTAATTAGGTTATAGAAGAATCTATATTAAATTTAAAGGAATATAGCAAAGTATTGGATACAGCTATGATACAATATCATGAAGAACGTATGACCACAGTTAATAGAATCATAAAACAATTATGGAAGCTTGTATATACTGGAACAGATACAACTTCTATAGAAATTCGTACAGATGCAACTGAAGGAATAGGTGGTACAAAAAGAACATACAATTACAAATTAGTTCAAATGAAACATGGTCATGAAATAGATATGAAAGGTCGTTGTAGTGCTGGTCAAAAAGTAATTTTAATTTATAATAATATTATTATCAAATTTAATTCAAAATAATTCAATAAACTTTATTATTTATATATATTATCATTTATATATAGGTTTTGGCATCGATAATTATAAGACTTGCTTTAGCAGAAACGTTTTGTAAAGATTGCGGAATTCTCGCCCTGGATGAACCAACGACAAATTTGGATCAAGAAAATGCTGATAGTCTAGCAAATACATTGGCTACGTTTGTTTAGCATTTTTTTATTTAAATTATATTTAGATTTTTGACATCTAATCTGAAATTTTAATGAAAATTATTTTTATGTTAAAGGGTTGTTAAATTACGATCACAACATCAAAAAAATTTTCAATTAATTGTAATTAGTCATGATGAAAAATTTTTATTCAAATTAGCTGAATTAAGCAGTAATAAAGGCTTTTATCAACTTTATCGTAAACAAACGTATGTCTATAATAAATAAATATATGTACATGTGTATATATACATACTTTCTTGTTTAATTTAAAAAAATTTGTATATTTTTAGCGGTTATTCAACAGTTAAATATTGTTTAGTAGAGAATCAATATCATTTTGCATCAAATGATATAAAAGAAGAATCTGATGAAGAAATCGATGAACATTCTTCACGAGATAAATTACAATATGAAATAAGTTTAGGAGGGAAAATGCATAATGAACAAACTTATAACAGAAAAAGAAACATTGAAGATGACGATTTTACTGAAAATAGAATGTCAAAAAAAAGATATGTCTTTCAATAAATTTTTCAATAATAATTATATTTATTATATATTTGTAATTAAAAATTAAAAAATTAAAATTTATATTTTATAAATATAATATTCTAATTTTAATGAAATTCGATTTATTAATATTAAATCTGCATTCTATTTTGTATTGTATTCTTTTTGATAATAATAATAATTTAAGTAAAATAATAAGATAATATTTTTAAAAATTGGCGGTTTTTTTTTCATTAAATATAAATATATCGAGTATTGAATCGATTTTGACAGTCGAAATGTGATCATACTCGGTCGATAAAAGAAGCAAAGAACAGGTGACGACATCGTTGTCATACTCGTGATTTCATAACACGCCATTTTCTTTGTGTGAAGTACTGGTCAAGAGGAATTTCACCTACTATTTTCTATCTATTTCAAGGTAACGCAATTTATAATTAATATTTTATTATTTTGTTGATTATTGTTCACATCTTTAAATGAATTAATTTTATGTATATCTTATAGGCCCCTTGTTTAATCCTAATTCTAAATCTCGATCGTGAAATCGCATGTTGACAGGTTTTTAAGCATCGCAGTTAAACGAATTTTATATCTATTAGATCATATATATTATTATTTTATCATATCTCTTCTTATATTGATGCGATGTTTGTATTTTTATTATAATATCATTTAAATATTGTGAACATTAACCGCCAAAACATATATTTGGAACATCTTCATGTAATAATTTTTTTCAAGTAATGTACATACGTCATTACAAGGGGAGTACTTTTCCCATTCACGTTCAATGATTCACTAAAAATCGGATTGCTGTTTTGCATTCATATTATTTTATAGTAAAATTTCATATTTTTAATGTTGCATAATAATACGATATTTATTTAAAATCAAGAAATAACTTTTCAATAATATAACCAATTATTAATTCTAATTTTAAAAGATATTGAGATTTTCTTCAATATAAATTTCAACTAATCAAAATTGATATTTATTCATTTAAAAAGAATTAAGAACATTTTAACTAAATGATAATGATTAACTCTACATGCCTATTTCATTATTTATATTTCACTCTTATCTGAGTTGTATACATACTATATATGTATATATATACATTTAATTAAAGATTTTGATATTCTAAAAGAGATTTATATATAACTATATATATATATTTTAATACATTTTTATGAAATAATTTTAAATAAAATTTGTTAATGTTATTATTAAGTTTTTCAATTGATTATATTTCTAAATGAAATTTTGTGAAAATGTCAATTCATATTTTTTGATTCAATATATTAACAAAATTTATAGCAAACATATTTTTTTTGTTTTTAGTTTACAATGGCTTCTCATAAGAAAATATTGCTTAAAGTCATTATTCTTGGGGATTCTGGAGTTGGTAAAACTTCTCTTATGAATCAGTATGTAAGCAAAAAATTTAGCAATCAATATAAAGCTACTATAGGTGCAGATTTTCTTACCAAAGAAGTAATGGTAGATGATAGGATAGTTACTATGCAGGTAAATATGTATTAAATAATATTATAATATTTATGTTATATAATATTTATGTTTGTTACATATCTTTTTTTTTATTCTTTATCTTCTATTTTAAAATAGATTTGGGATACAGCTGGTCAAGAAAGGTTTCAATCTTTAGGTGTTGCTTTCTACAGAGGTGCTGATTGTTGTGTACTTGTATTTGATGTTTCTGCACCAAGTAGCTTTAAATCTTTAGACTCTTGGAGAGATGAATTTTTAATTCAAGCTTCTCCTCGAGATCCAGATAATTTTCCTTTTGTAGTACTTGGAAATAAAGTTGATTTGGAAACCAAAGTGGTAAGAATATTTTAAATATAATTTTATTAATATATATATTTTTAACATTTTTTTCTTTTTTTAATTAAAGATTTAAAGATTTGTACTTAAAAATTTGTACTTGTTTTAGTTGATTTAAGTTTTAATTAATTTAATAAATGTTTTAATAAATAAATTTTCAGATTCATGGTAAAAAAGCACAACAATGGTGTCAATCTAAAAATAATATTCCATATTTTGAAACTAGTGCTAAAGAAGCCATTAATGTTGAACAAGCTTTCCAAACGATAGCAAAAAATGCTTTAGCTCAAGAAAGCGAGGTAAATTATTTTTTTTATATTATTTATTTTATATATTTAAATAACATTAATAAAATTATGTAATAAATAATACTGTTATTTTAGGTGGAATTATATAATGAATTTCCAGACCAAATTAAGTTGACGAATGATCAACGAAACAATGGCAAAGGTGATTCTTGTGCCTGCTAGGTCTTTGAGCGATGAAAATTTTGGATAAGCACATAGATGCACAGGTCAGATCGTACATTCGCGTACCTGCGCATTTTAAAAAATACTATATCGAGCTTGATGTGTTTGGAAGTCCTAAGTATGCACCTTGGTTTTTCTTTATTCAATTTTTCATTAGGATATTTTTAAAGCATATTTATAGTATTGAAACTTTTTTTATTGAAATTATGTGGAATATTGTGAAAAAATATATGTGTATATATAAGAAAGTTTATAAGCAATGCATTTTAAACAATAAAATTAGAAAAATTTTGTACCAAGGAGCATCCATTGGCTTCATTACATGAAAGACTATATTGTATTTTATATCGTATGTTTGTGTTGATATTTCACTTGTCCAGCAATATGTTCAACACATTATTTCCAAAAATTGTAATGCTCTCTTATTGGGTATAGCGAACAGTATGAGCTGCCCTTTTAAATTGCATCTTTACAGCTCATTGTTGATGTTCTTCATTGTGAAATGATACTACAATGTTTATGAATCATATAGGCATAATTTATATCGGGAGGAAAATTTATGGGTTGGGAACACACTTAGCATAACAATTAGATCATAAATTTGCTCATGATTCATTGAATACAATCACATTTATTGAAAAGTTCTAGAAATATTTGTGAATATATTCATTTGATTATTTGTCAAGTCTAATTTTTATTATCAAATAAAATGAAAATTTTATTATTATTCAATATAATATGTTTCAAATACATATATAAATAATTTTATAAAATAATGGATTTTTATTGAAATATTGTAATTATTTAATTATCTCTGAATTTCTTTAATAATTTAAACCTTGCTAATTGTTATGTTGATCAAGATATTCTTATCTTCTAAAAATAACTCATATTTTTTACGTAAATTTAAATAATGTTGAGTTTGTTTAATAAAATTAATGCGTATCTCCTGATATTTCACGATCGTCTCAATCTCAAAAGGCTAGTGCGTTTTCAAGGAAAAAAATTCCCTTCTTAAAAATCTTGATATCTATATAATTTATCATTTGATATTCTCAATCCACCTATAATATTATATACTAATATTTTCATCATGTATCTTTAAATTCCTCCTTGAAGTGAAAGTCTCGAGCCGCGATGCATTAATTTTTTAATTTTTTATTGTATGCTTTAAAAATTATTTAGATTCACAAACTTTATCAAATATTATTTAAAAAGACAAGGTTTCGTTAAAAAATTAAACATATCATGCAATATATAAAAAATATTTGACGATTTATCTCTAAAAAGTATAAATTTTTATTTTTTCTACTTTAATATTATAAAGTATATAATATTTATGAGAGATTAAATCTATTGAAAGAATTATATAAAAATCAAAAGGTAATTTTATTGACATATATAAATAATTCTCTTTTTTTAAAAAATACGTTTTTGTAATGAAAAAATATTTTTTGTACAATAATTATATTCTGAAATGATAGATTTATCTAAAAAAAATCGTTATAAAAAATATTTATAAAAGTGATATTATTTATTATGTAAAAAAAATATGCGTCGCGGTGCTAACGATCACTTCTATATCTTAAAACAATTATTATTTTAGAAATAAGCCACTATCCTGAAAAATGTAGAGCAAAAAAAAAAAATTATGTGAGCTGAATTGATACATACCTATAAGATTTCTTATAAAAAAATTTAATACGTGAAATATATGCGTACATCTATTATGATAATTTTGGACGATATAAATGTGTGTCATCATACATGTACGCATATTCACGTAATATATATGTATATAAATGATGGTCATGACGATTACAATTATAATTATTAATATAATTTTATCGAAATATGTTAACGATAATTATTATAAATATTATCATTATTGCTGCTGCTGCTGCTATAAATTACTACTATTGCTATTCTTAGTTTTAAGTGAAAAACAAGAAAATAAGAAGAAATACATTTATTGCAACAAAATCATCAGCTGGTCGAATTAATTCGCTGATATATCTGTGCCACGGATAATCATCGTGTGACCTGAAACAAAATATAAGACTATCATTATCCTTATTATGACTTGATGTCTATGTTGTTATTATGGAGATGAATGTCTGTTGAAATAGGTAGTAAATTTAGTAATCTCTGTACGAAGTAGCGCATAAGATTAAAATATAATTCAATATAACTAATAACAATACAACTAATTTAATAATTGAAAAATAATGGGGAAAATGGCTTTTTTCAAGTCAAAAGTTAGTCTATATTACAATGTAATTTTATTTGAAAATTTCAACATATTATGTTTCAACCGATGTAAATTAAATATTTACCCCTTGTACGATTGTAAAAAAAGTATTCGTTTTTATATAATGCAATTTTATCTTTCCTTTGAACCAACTATTTAATTAAGTGAAGTCTACAAAATATACATATGATGCACTTATGTGTACATATACGAATATACATAATGAATGTTAAACCAAGGATATATCTATGAGTAGATTATAAAATGCGTATAGAATATTTTATATTAATGTATAATATTACACGGCCTTTGTTAAGTTTTAAACAAATTTTTACAATTAATGTCAAATATATACAACATACATACGCCTTTATAGAGAATAAATTACATTCATTTACAGATAAAATATAATATGAAATAATTATGTTTTTTGTAAAAATTAAAACGTAATTTCATTCTTGTTATAACGAATTGTGTTGTGTGGTTCTATATGAAATTATAAATTTGAAAACTTAGAGAATATATAAAAAGAATTTAATAATGAATTCAATATGAATATTAACAAGAAAATTATGTAGTTGTATTAAAACATCTTTTAATAAGTACAAATTTAAATAATTAAATCTAAATTTGTGCAATAAATAAAAATACAATATACAACATTTTATTCAATAAAAAAATATTAGAATTAAAAATTAATTTTTGCAACAAAATGCAAAATTTTTAATCAATACTAAAATTATCCTATTTGAATTTTTTAAATATTCCAAGGATAAAATGTTTTTTTTAATTTAAAAGTTCTAGATAGTTTCAATGATTTATTTCATTGATCTTTTTTAACATTGAACATTATATATATAATATGATATGAACTATGATATGAACTAATAGTAAATCTATGTATATTTTCTAAGACTGAGAGAAAAATAATTTTAATTTATCATAATTTGGGAAAAATTTAAGTAAAGTAAGTTTCACATTTCACAAACAAACATTATTAATTTTATTCTATATAATATAATAATAATTTTCTCAACAAATAATATAAATATTTACATATAACATACACATTTACTATTCGATAATAATATATTTCTTAAATTAATTTATTAATTTAAATTTATTAATTTTTATTTTTATTTTATTTAATAATTTTTTATATTTCATATATTTTTTATTCATAATTATTTATTTCATGATTACATTGTAAAGTTATTAATTAGAAAAATTCAGAATAAGAATAAAAAACAAGATGTATATTATTATATATTAAATTTTTTTACAATTAGATAAATGAAACCAAATATTTTTATAATCATTGCTTAACAATATTTTTAATGTTTTGTTTTTAATATTAGCAAAATAATAATTTTTTGTATATGCAAATTGAAACTATTAATGATAAATTTTAAATTTTAAACTAAATTTTAAACTCTTATTACAAATATAAATAGAAAATATTTGAACGACTACATCATGATCCGTAAGTTATAAAGATATGACATATAAAGGTTATTTTATGTATAAGAGTATGATGTAAGTATAAAAAGTTTGTTTTAATTATTGTAACATAATTATAGTAAATGAATAATTATTATATTAAAGGAATAAGTTATGAAATTTTTAAAAATTAAAAATATTTTATAAAAATTGTATTTGTAAAATATTTCATTTTTTATAATATAATATTTAAATTTCCTATTTATTTACATTGACATAAAACAATTGTATCCAACTGTTATTGGATTATAAATATGTTATTTGTTATTTATATATATGATTCCTTATGTAATTCTTTTTTCTAAATATATAATACAAGATTGTTTAGGATACAATTAATACAAAAAATATGATACAATTGCTTTATTAAAGAAATTAAAGAATATTAAAATTAATTGATTTTAATTAAAATTAAACATTTATAAACTTATTTTAATATTAAAATATTAAATTTTTATAAAATATAATGTTCTTTTTAATTTTCTAAATTTCTAAGTCAAAATTATAAAATTATACTTTTTATTATATATTTTTTTATTATTAATATTACGAACGCGACGCTCATTATTAATAAAATTTTAAGAAAATGAATTTAGAATTAAAAAATAAGAGGTTAGAAAAATCAAATATTTTATGAGATTTTTATGCAATTGAATTAGAAAATTTAGTTATATACATATATACTATATATGTATATCAATTAATTGAGTAATTTTAGTTCTTTTAAAATTGGAAATTATTGTTATTATTGTAATAATTATTTTTTTTTATATCTATAAAAATATTACTTTCAGATTATAGAATATTAAAAAATAGATACATAAAATATTAAAGAAACAAAATATGATGACAAATATAGATTTAGAAATGTTTGAAATTTTTGTAATAATTTATAAATAGAAATTATTTAAAATTTGCAGATGTAAATTCTGAATTTTTAAAAGAATTTTTTTAATATTTTTTTTATAAAATATATTTTTCAAGATAAGATAGAAATATAATACGGTATATAAAATTTTGAATATTTATTATAAATAATATATTATATTATTATATTATTATAATTCAATATTTAAGCTTTAATTTATATATAAATATGAATTATATCTTTTACATTATAAATAGTTTTCAATCCAACATTAATGAATTCAGTGTTTAAGTTTATTATAGTAATTAAGTAATTTCTTAAACAATAAGTTTTAGTTTTTAAGGCAGTCTACTGTGTCATATATAGCTTGTGAAGTTACGCTTTGTAATCTAGATTGAGCATTTGAATTGCAAGAAGCTTGCGTTGACAATATTTTTGATTGATTATTTTGTATTGTTTTTTTGCCTGTGAAATTTCTTGTTCATATTGACGAATACTCTGATTGATATATCCAACTTTTATAATCATGCAGCTTGCCATTTGCATAGCATTTGAATTATAACAATCTAGAACAACACGATCCAATTCATTCAGTAAATTTTTTCCAATCTGAAAATTAAAAGTAATTTATAACATCCGGATTATTTTTAAAATATTCTCTTTAATATTATATTTGATCAAATGATATTCATTCTATAAATAGATTTATATGAATTTTTATATGAATTTTTATAAATAATTTTCAATAAATAAGAGTATAGTACATACTATTTCTTGAGCATCAAGCACTTGTAACTCTGCTTCAATACTTTGTATTGCTTGATTTTTACATTGATTGAGATTATTATATTCTTTTTGATAGGCATTATTTACTTTATTTATGACGGTATCTAAGCAATCATCAGCATTTTTGCCTGATTTGTTTGCTTCTTCTCTTTTTTCCTAATAAAAAATATTATAATTATAATTAATAATCTTAAATTTGTATAAATTGAATAATGCTTTACATTGTTTCAATCATTTCAAGTTTTAATCACTTCTCAGTTTCAATTGATATATTAATTAATTATTAATGACTTTTATACAATTATTAAACATATGTAATATTTCCTAGAAAAATTATTCCTAAAAAATAATTATACTATGAAAAACAAATTTTTAAAATAATAATAGTTAAAAATTTACTTAATTAGAAATAATAATTGATGATTTGTATAGCATAAGAAATCATTATTATAACTAGACTAAATATATTTTTCAATAAACATAATTTTTATTAAATGGAAGATAAAACTATTGAATCTATTTTCATAAATGAATTGTTTTATAAAAAGACACTTTATTATATATAATATATTATGAATAATATATTATTTCATTGAAAACCATTTATTTATTCTAATTTACTTACTTACTTTAATATAATTAAGAATAAAGTTTCTATTGTTGAGCATTTGATTTGCAGATTGAGTTTGATATGAGTAAATTTTTTGTTCTGCATCTCTCTTTATGGAAGATTTAGAACGATTTAAGTCTGACAGAATAGTTTGAATCGAGTTTTTAGCTTTCTTCACAGCTTCACTTGCTTGTTGTAATGGATTACCAGGCCACTAAAATTAAATAATTTAAATAAAAATTCTATATTAATTCTTAAAGAAGATTTAAAATGAATATTATTAAATTATATTATTAACTTATTAAGCTCGATATATAATTTCGTATTATTCAAAATATTGCTAAGAAATTTTGTTTATAATATTATTAATATTAATATATAATATTAATATTATTATTAAATTAATGTTTATAATATTATATAAACTTTAAACATTTTATTAAGAAAACGGCATAATTTCGCAAAATTTTTTCTTAAAAAAATCTGATTAAAAATTGTATAAAATAATATTAATAGTGATTTATCTTTTTTAATATTTTATATTAATTTAATGAATTTTAATAAATTTAATTTAAAATGAATTTATTTTAATAAATTGTTAAAAAGTCTAAATATTGACTTACTACATAAATATTTGTTTAAAAATATTTTATAATTTTTTCATTATATTAAGAATTTTTAAAAATGAACAAATTTCATGATATACAGAATCTACAAAACAAAATTTTTAAAATATAAATAATAATTCTTATTATTTCGTTTATTAAAAATTCTTAAATTGATAGAATTGTTCAATAATTAGTTAATTGATTATTTGCTTACTTGTGCAGCACAGAAAGTTACTAAAAGGCAAAAGAAAATGAACAACTTCATATTTGCAAAAAAAAAATTTCAGTATTTTATATTATGTTTCTTTGAATTTCGAATTAACGGATAGACTTGTCTTTTTATATGTAATGATTCGCTTATAATCTTAATCAAAAGTGAATCATTGAAAAAAAGAGGAAAAAATAAATGATAATATTTCCAGGTATATTCACAGTACAATTTGTCATTGGACAATTGTATAATGATTCTAAGTTGATTAATTATTGGTCAAATAGCTATTTTTTATTCTAATGCATTCTATTTTTTTACATGTATGTATTTTTTTTAATTTATATACAAACATATTTTATGTTATTTTGATGAAAAGATGTTATTTCTGATGAATTTAGTTCATGAAAACTTTTAAATTAAAAAAAAAAATAAATAAAACTAAATAAAAATTTAATTTTATTAATCATTTTGAATCTTAGTGAAAATTTTTATTTTAATATTTTTTATTTTTTTTAATGAAATTGAAAATGATATACCAATCAAAGATTTAACATTATGATAAAACGTGATAAATATTTTTTATAAAAGAGATACTTAATAACATTATTTATCTTTACTTGAGTATTAAGAATTTCTTGATAACAATATGATATGTGGGTATTAATAAAAAACATGCATTTAAACATTTTTATAATAATATCGTGTAATAATATTTTTTTAAAATATAATATCTTTTTTATACATATATGCAGATAAATATTAAAAATCAAACTGAAATCTATTATATATGTTTAATAGTTTTTATTTGTTCTGCTTATTTTTCTCAATTCGAGCCATCTTTTCCTGTTGATATTTAAATTATATTTATATAATACTAATTATATTTATTAAATCTATTAAAGAATTTGTAAATCAATAAAAAAAATTTGTTAAATGTTAATTTGTTAATATATATACATATATATATATATTAAATGTTATATTATAATAATATATTATAATATATATCTTATCATAAAAATGAATATTTTTTGAGAATATTTATAATATAATTCTATTAATATTGATTATGTTTTAAAAATATTTTATAGATATAAAATTGTAAATAGTAAAATAGATTCAATAAACAAATCTTTATAATATCATTTCTTTCGATAGAATGTTTTAAAATTCCTGTTATTGTCAATTCAAATTTTTATTCAAGTTTCACCAAATATTTTACTAAAATATTCATATCATTATTATTAAATATATATTATGTTTCGCAAGACTATTTAGGATATCCATATTTGTTTATATTAAAGATTAAAATTCTATAGTTTTGAAAGAAAAATAAGAAAAATGTGTCCTGTTGAAATTCATATCTGTCATGTGTCAAGAATTATAAAACAACTATACAACAACAAGAACAAATAGTAATAGTAAAAGAATAGATTATAAGGAAACAATTCTATCTCTAAAATACCAGATAAAAAAATAAGGAGAGTAATTAATAAGAAGATAAAAAAAGAATAAAAATTGATTAACACTATTTCTCGAATTCCGAGAAAAATATCTTTTCAAAGATAGATTAGAATAAGAATTGAGAATTAATGCCATCTTTTGAAAGCTTTAGTTCTTAAGAGATTGCGTTACGATCAATTCTTATCATGTTTCTATCTTTTTTTTATTATTTATTTTTCTTATATTTACGAATTCAAATACTTAAAAGATGTTGATTTTCGATTAATTTATATTATTATTTAATTTATTGATTCTATTAAAAATTTTAATAGAATCTGTTCCATATAATTTTTATATATTGTACTATATTTTTATATATTTTTTTTTATTTCTATATCATATATAATTTCTGCACTCACTAAGTTCTAAATCAAAAAAAAAAGAATATAAAAAAATTCTTAATTTTTTGTACGATTGATATTTTAAAATATGAAACATAAAATTCTATTATACGTTGGGTTATCTCATTTGTAATGTTACTAAAACGCGAAAATTAAATACTATTCATGAATTCGTAGCCACCTAGCAATAATGTTGGTAAACATTGTTAGATTTAGTAAGTTGATGACTAAGCTATTATATATATATCTAATTGTTCGAGATGGATATAATTACAAGTGTAAAAAATAATAACAATGAAGATAAAATTCAAATGATTTTTGAGATGCTTAAACAACAAATAAATGAGTACGATATTATAAGTAAGGAAAAAATATCAAGAACAGAATTAAGAAAACAAAAAATTCAAAAATTAGTGACAGAAGAAAAACACTTGTCCACAGAGTTTCAAAAAATTAAAAAAGAGTTAAAACGTTATGAAAAAAAATATGAAAAGGCATTAAAAAAGAAAGTGAAACTATTGAAAATACAGATTGAAGAGGATCGACGTAAATTAGAAGCTACAAAACAAAAATTTTATAAATTAGAAACTTATGTAAATATAACAGAAAAGGTAAAGTCAAAGAAAAAAAGTAAACCGTTAAAAGTCAAGATGATGTTACCTAAATTCATACAAAAGAATCTACCGCTTAATAAAAAGATTAAAATCAAAATTAAAAAAAACGAAAAATTAGGTAGGCGTGAAATGCACTTTATTAACGATATTAATGGACAAAGTGTATCTTCTAATTTACCTTCTAATTTAGTAAAAATTATAAAACCTACAATGAATACTCGAGAATGTAAAATTGTATTACAAAGACTGACGGAAGAGCAAATGAACAAATATATTAATCAAAATAGGTTAGGGCAAGAGAAAAAAAAAGCGTATAACACGAGATTCTTTAAAAAAAAATAATGGAAATGAAATAAATACGATTTGTCCAAGTTGGCATATAAAAATTCCAAAATCAGTATTTCAAGAAAGTCTCTTACGCATTAATAATTTTAATCTAAATTCAACTTCTATTTCAAAAGATATTATATAGTTAAATATAGTATGTTTGATTATTGTTAAAATTTTATTGTTAAAATCTATTGTACATTAAGAAAATTTTGTTAATTATCAAATTGTCAAATTTTATCATTGCAATTATTTTATTATCATAGCCAAAAAATTAATAATTTTAAAATAAAAAATATTTATTGTGTAATAAAACTCTAAGAAAGTATTTTATATATATAGTGTATATATAGTACACATATAATAACATAATTTTATAATAATATTTACGTAGAACATGGAACATTAAACACAATATACAATTAATAAAAAAAATCTTATGCTTTAAAAAATTGGTTAATTATTATATAAATATATAATTATATATATATATATATAACATATATATATATATATATATATATATATATATATATATATTNTATAACAAACTA